TATATATATGTGTGTATATATATATATATATATATATATATATATATATATATATATATATATATATATATATATATATATATATATATATATATATGTATATATATATATATATATATATATATATATATATATATATATATATATATATATATATATATATATATATATATATTCCTAATTTTACATGTCTTAAAAACAAAATGAACTATACTACCACAGCAAACAGTTCAGCAGTCTGGAGTCATAGCATGCCATGACATGAGCAATCAGCCGACAGGTGACAGCACACAGGTAGAATTTCGTTGACAAGTGCCATTTAGCATCGGGCAAAACAAGTGCAACTTTTTTGGTTTGTTTCATTTTCTTAAGTCTGGTCTGTGTCAGAAAATTATTTGTGATAAATATCGCGTGAAAAAATGGACCGTATCAAGACTATGTTCCAAATACCGTTCTACGGGGAAGTTGGAAGCAGATTACAAAGGTGGAAAACTGCGTTCCATCACTTCTAGAGAGGATTCTATGATCATCAGATCCGCCAAGGAGGATCCCTGGATATCATCAGTCGAGATACAAAAGCAATTAGAGATGCCTGTATCGGACCGAACAATCAGACGACGTACTGTTGAAGCCGGATTGTTTTCTCGATCTCGCATCTCAACCCTTTCGAGAACCTGTGGGAGATCTGTGGTGAAGGTGTTTGTTATAAAGATCAACTGTTTAAACAAATCCAAAAAGCTATGGCAGCAATTCCGAAAGTTTTCATAGATCACCTAATCGAATCTATGCCTCGAAGATGTAAGACTGTGATCGAGAACAAAGGATTCGCCACGTTTTATTGATAGCGAAATACAGCTTGGTCAACATTTTGTTGAGTTGCACCTGTTTTGTCCAGAAGAAAATTAACTTTTTTTACTTTTGATTAATTTATTTATTTTTGTGTACAAATATTTATTTTCGTGTACTTTCTAATGAAGAACGTTGTCTCTAAACAGTTTCATAGTTATTTCTCTAAATTGAAAAAATGCTTCACTTTTATATAAAGAAACTCAATTAGCATTATTTGGTTGCACTTGTTTTGTCCGATACTGTATATATATATATATATATATATATATATATATATATATATATATATATATATATATATATATATATATATATATATATATATATATATATATATATATATATATATATATATATATATATATATATATATATATATATATATATATATATATGTATAACCTCAGATGTATTATATATCATACAATTACCCCATAGGATGGTAATAGTATCTTATAGTTTCATTGACTACTTTGTAATTCCGAAAAAACGAAGAAATAAAATTTGAGTTTATTGGAATTATTTTAAATAAATTATACCCAGTGACAATGGGTTCGGTTATATTTATCGTGACGGGTTAATATTTTTTTAATCGTCAGGATTCAAATAGTGATACGAATTCGTAGACAGTTTTTTCGGTTTTTAATTGTATCTGTTAAACTAAATATATTACAAATATGGTCTGGTTTGCAGTTTTAACCATATGGTATATTTTATTTTAAAATAATTCTAATAAACTCAAGTTTTATCTCTTCACTTTTTCGGAATTACAAAGTAGTCAACGAAACTAGAAGATATTATACTATTACCACACTATGGGGTAATTATATAATATGTAATACACCTGAGGTTTTATATTATCAATATTCTTTTTAATGATACGAACTTTCACCGGCAAAGAAAGTTTGTGTTATTGAAAAGAAAACATTGCACAAAATTACACAAAAGTATTACAACAAGTATTTTGTAGACAGAAATCTTTTTCGTAAACACTTTTCTTCAAACTTTTGTTTTGTTAAAAAAAGTTATTCAAAACTTTTAAAAAATTTATTATTCATTGTTCCCTAAAATTTAAAAACAAACATACAAATGTTTTTTTCTGGCCATGAGTAAAGTTATCGTGTTGATACGTTTAACTTTGTAAACAAAGCGTGTTTGTTTTACTTATGTGAAAGCATGTTTACTTTGCAGAATGAAGCCACAAATGTTACAAAATTTCAATTTTTTAACCTTCTATTAACTACCCAGTGGGCATTTCGACGTCGAACGAACGTCGAGCGACGTCGGATCTCGACGTCGGATCGACGTTGGGTTTACGTTGGAAATGGAAATGTTATTTGACATCGGATAAACTGACATCGCACGACGTCGGCATTCCGATGTAAATCCAACGTGTTTTTTGAAAACTAAAACTTGTTGCCTTAGGCAGGTATCGAACCTCGGTCGATTAGAAACTAAATCCTACGCGCTTACCACTATACCACAGCGACTTATTAATTAATGTGTTTATTTAGTAATTTATACTTGTAGCTATTTGGGAATTATTACTTTGATAAGAAATAATTTTGTTTAAATATTATATAAATATTAAAACGAATAGTTATATATTATAAAAAATGTATACTCGAAAATGTTAATAGTTAAAAAACTATGCTAGTGCATCATACAAAACCTCATGATGTTTTATCAACCATTATTCAAACTTCTTTCCATTAAAAAAAAACACGATTAGTTCACATATTTATTGAAGAGCGCAATTGCACACATATTGTTGGGTTTGGATTAAATTTTCATCAGCGATGTCTTACGACGTTGTTCCGACGTCGTTTTAAGGACGTTGGATTAACGTCGGAAGACGTCAAAAGACATCGGAGTACGTTAATATTATGACGTTGCCCGACGTCTTTTTATCGACGTTGGATCGATGTCAGTACTGCGACGTTTTTTGGACGTCTTTAATAAGATGTCGGAACAACGTCAAAATACATTGAAACGACGTCAGGGGATGTTGAGATAAAGACATCGCCCGACGTCATTTTACTGACATCGGAACAACGTCGGAATAGGTCTTTTGACATCGCTGATGAAAATCGTACGTAAATCCGACGTCGGATTGACGTCGGGTGCCCACTGGGTATGGTGCTTTCATTTATTATTTAGATGAATTTTAACATCTTAATTTATGTTGTTGACTGTAAAATGTCATTAAGTACGATAAATATTTAAGAGAGCAGAACTCGATTCGCTATAAGATACTCGATAACACAAACTTGATTAAAAAAATTCAGTAACAGTTAAAAATGTCAAAAAGATTACTTTGCATACTTGTAACTTTCAAAATGTTATTGTTGTTTGTTTTAACGGAGGCATGTGTATGTTATCTCGGAATCGCACAAATGATCGAAATTTAGTTTTTTAAAAAAGAACTTGCGGCCGCAGCCCAAACGCTTAGTCAATTGAGCGGCACTCATTTGAGGCAGCAAGCTATAAGATAGTTGATTTATGTACTGAATCCTTCGGCTACAAGCTATTTCAGTATGACTCATCGCCAACGCAATACAAACTACCCTTTTTTTAATGCATTATCATAAAAATTCCAGCTGATATTCTATCAAACTAATCGGTTTATCGAGATTATTCTTTATATGGTTTCCGAGACTATTTTTGTTTTTTAACTATTTTTATAATATTAGTTCTGTCTTATCATTTTTGAAATTAATTTAAAAATTTTCGTTTTGGTCATATAAAATTCGAGGTTAATTTTTTTTTAGAGAATTTTTTTTTTTTTGAAATAGGATTGCTTTCCCGACGTTTATTAGGAACTCAAGAGTACCTACCATTGTACGCAAGAGAAAAAATATATTAACAACAAAATGTATCTTTGTCGACTTGATATTAAATTTAACTGATATTAATTTTAATCTTGTTATTTTTGTTTTTATCGTTTTTATTATTATCTTTATGATTATTTTTATTATCATTTTTGTGTCTCAAATATCATTTTTCAAATTTCAAATTTCTCCAATATATATTGAAATATATATCAATATATATATCAATATATCCAGAGAGATATATATATATCAATATATCATATATATTTCAAATTTCATTTGTGTCGTCAAAATATCTCAAAAACTACGCATCACATGACAAAACATCTAATGGATGAAAGTTAGGGAATTAGAATGTTAACACAATGCGCAACAAAAGGTTGTTGGAAGCAGTTGAGTAAAATACACGGGCATACATATATATATGTATACGGGGATACATATATATATACATATATATATATATATATATATATATATATATATTATATATATATATATATATATATATATATATATATATATATATATATTGATATATATAACTTCAAATTTCAAATTTTTATATTAATTACTATTATTGTTGTTGTTTTTGTATTTATTGTTATGAATTACTGTGAACTTAGGACAATTAAAGAAAGTTTTTTAATCGAAAAGTTTTTCCTGATTTTTTTTTAAATAAAATTTTGTCGTTGTTTAATAACTAGAATAAATTGTATTTTAATCATTGATTAAAGAAAAAAAAATTAAAATTTTGTCTTTTGCTTGCACTAATGATTGCACTTTTTCTGTTTACCAATGCCGCGAATCTAAAGGATGAACCTTAAAAATATAACATATAATCTTCCAAACCAACTTTTTATTATAAAAATCTCTTATTCTAAACAAAGCCTTTTGACCAACCTGTCTCTATTGATAACTATCAAGCATTATAAAGGTGGTTGAAACTAAATTCCAGTGAGCAGGTTTCGCGTTTTTTTATAAAATCCTGATCCAAATATAATAAGTGTACGAATATCGAATTTGTTTTTCATAGTGATAAGTTATAACAAATTTTGCTATAATATAGTTATAATAATTATTTAATATAATAAATATATTAAATTATTTATCTATCGAAAAGTATTATAAGAAAATGAGTATAAACGGTTTAAATAAATTTGAATTATTTAGGTCAGGACTTTATAAAAAACGCGAAACCTGAATTTGCTCACTAGAATTTAGTTTCTACCTATAAAGGTTCAGAAAATTCCAGACTTCTTGATTATTTAATAAATGCTGATATCGGCTTTATAAAAATTTTGCTGATGTCAGCAAAGTGATGTAATTTAGTCTGCCATTTTTACAAGCCTTCCATTTATTCATAAGAAAGCCCTAAAGGCGATTTAATAAAATTAACATAGTGTGATTTTTTTATTAAAAATGCCAAGAGGATCTAGATCAAGTGGGGGAGGAAGGTCTTCGTTTTCCAGCCCTTCTAGTCGATCAGCTTCACCTCCAGCAAGAAGTGCTCCGCCTCCTACTAGAGCTGCTCCACCACCTCAAAATCTGCCTGCTCAACAACCTGCAAGTGCACTTTCTTCACCCGCTCCCAAACAACCAGGTTTGTTTGCTCAAATGGCTACTACTGCTGCTGGTGTTGCTGTTGGTTCAACTGTGGTACGTAAATAAATTAAAACTAGTCTATATGTGGTGTAATTAAGTTTTAAAAATAAATGTTTAAAATTTTAACTCATTAGGCAAGGGTTAAAAACGCTTAAAGCTGAAAGTAAATGTAACTTTTTATGACATCATGCATAAAAATCTTATACATATTAAGAACTGTGTTAAATAAATTGTTCTAAGTGTTTTAATGTGATGTTAAATTTTTAAATTCTTTAAACAAGGAATAGCAAATATATGTATTAAAGTGTATTTTTTCAAAAAAATTTCAATCAAAAATTTGGGTTTCTGTATTTTACTTTGCCATTTTTTAAATTGCATATTTTTTTAAATTCCATGTAATACATACAATTATAATAAAAAATTCATAAAGATCATATATAATATACAATCTTTAATTTAAAGATTGTGTTGATAAAATCAGGACAAAGTTTTAATAAAACTTTGTCCTGATTAAGAAACATAAAATCAGACTTTTTTAAATAAAGGAAACTTTATGTTAAAGTCAAAACAAGGTAATCTAAATATGTCATTGTTTTTTGCATTTAAAATCAATCTTTAAGGTCTTTAAGGTAGGAGAAAAAAGTCTGGTCTTTTTTTTAAAATTAAAGATCCAAAAGTTTAGTAGTTTTTGGAATAAAAGTTTAAATATTCTTCTTACTGCAGAAATAAAACAAAAAAAGGTAAAAGATAATAAAGCATGACATGTAAAAATTTCAAAACAGCTATCAATATTTAGCGTCTTTAGTGGGCATGTTTTTCAAAAATGCATAATTTTCAGCGGTTCTCCTCTGTAATAAAAACAGTTTAAGATAATATATAGTTTGATCAGGAACAATTATTTGTTCCTGATCAAACTATATTCATCTTTAAAAAATAAACTATATTTATCTTTAAAAAATAAAACCATAAAATTGATGTTTTACTTCAAATTAACGTCATTAAAAAAATGTTGTTTTTTTTTTTTGCCAAATGTACTTTACAAAAAAGTTATGGCTGTTTATAAATACCGTAAGAAATAAGTCTGTTTTTTAATAGTTAATAGTTTGTAGAATTTTAAGAACACATTATTATCATGTTTTTTCTTCTGAATTTTTGATAATTTAATTTAATAAAATTTAAACAACCCTTAGAACAAGAGGTTTATCAAAACTGAGATTTTTTTCTGGTTTGTATTAAATTTTGAATTTGTTAAGTAGATTGATTCCTGGTTTTTATTTTGTAAAGTAGATATCTATATTTACTGTTTACATATTTGCATCAATTTTGTCTTAATTGTTTATAAAACATTGTTAAGAAATAGTGCACACTGCATCTGCCTCTAATTACTCAATCAAAGAAAATCTGGAAATAATCTTCTTATATTGAATTTATTTCAAAAAAAAAACAAGATTGTTGTATTTACTAATGAATAAAATAACTCGACTTCAGATGATGTATGAATTTACCTTGCTTCATCCATAGTTCATTATTAACTCGTAAGTTAGTTTCATGATGCGTAGTAACCTAAAAATCCTAATTTTTCTCCCATTAGTAACAAAAGCCACCAAAAAGGATTAACTCAGCTACTCTGGACCAAAAATATGTAAAATTTTTGCAGCAAATATTCCTCATCCAAAAACTAGAGCACTCTAAAATGGTTTTTTAAGATAATTTGCCAAAATAAAACCGCTTTCCAACAGTATATATATTAAAATAAAATTATTAAAATATAATTAAAATTTGCAACAGTATACACACTAAAACAAAATTATTAAAATGTTAAAAAGGTTGATAAAACTTTTATCATAATCTAAATAACTCTAGAGAGAAAATATTGCTACTCGAATAAATACAACAGAAATAAGTAAAAAACAAAAAAAGAAAACTAGTTCTTCTACTCATAAGATCTTTTAAGAATTTTTTTTTTAGATGTAAAAACATCATAAGTATTTTATGATGTTTTTTACATCTTATTTTTATAGATGTAAAAAACATTATAAGTACTAGCTGCTACTGTCGATGCAACTCCTAAATGAAAAAATAACTATTATAATCCTGAAGATAAATAATAATAATAATAATAAATAAAAAAAATGTTTAACCTAAAATAAGAGTAATGATGAAAAATGTTTGTAAAGCAATTAAACAAATATAAACCAAATAAACATTTTTATGTTCAAAAAGTTTATGTATGTGACATGGTTTAATTAAAGTTAATAGAATATATGCTATATTCCAATAATTTAACCCTAGTCGCTCTTGATTTTTATCGTTTATTTTTCATCAACTATTTATCAGAATTTTTTTTTTTATGGTTGCAATTTGCTTATTTTCAGGGTCATACATTAGGGCATGCTCTAACAGGATCATTTTCAGGTGGTAATAAATCGAATGATAAATCAGAAAGTCAGCAGCAAGTATCACAAGAACGTAATCCTCAAAACCCTTGTGAATATGAAATGAAACAGTTTTTGGAATGTGCACAAAATCAAACTGATGTGTCTCTCTGTCATGGATTCAATGAAGCTTTAAAACAATGTAAATTATACTACAACTCTACAGCATCTACTGGAGGTATTAAAAGTTAATCTTAGAAATTTTATACATATATATATATATATATATATATATATATATATATATATATATATATATATATATATATATATATATATATATATATATATATATATATATATATATATATAAGGCCTATTCTAGGAAAAAAATTTGGGCAGCGATAAAAAAATGGTTGGCGCTGTCGAAAACAGTCTAAAATAGCCCTGATATATATATATATATATATATATATATCCAGTAAAACAATTATTAAATATGATAAATAGTTCTATAATTTTAAGTTTTATAAGTTAAGAATAAGTAATCCTCTTTTATAAAAAAAATGTCCAATAGAAATGCTTCATATTTCTCTCTGGCCTTTCATTCCTCAGTCTGGTTCAAGCTCCACAGGTTGCCTGCATCAAGTATAACAAATTTTAAATTTATGCTCTCATTAAGATTTGTATTTTATATTTCTTTTAGACCTTGCACATTGTTCATGTTTTTTCATTAGGAGTCTGGGTTTATTATTTTTATTACATGCATAGTGTCTAAATTATCATTATTATTTTTTACTACACTTTACTCTAGTGTCTTTGTTTTGTTCTGAAAATCTGTTCAATATATTTAATTTTTTCATCCTTTCTCTATTCCTAATTTTTTTCTTATTTGATTTGGGCTTGACAGCATAGTTTTTGCATATTTTAAATTAATTATACTACAGCATCTACTGGAGGTATTAAAAACAAATCTTAAAAATTTTATGTGTATATATATATATATATATATATATATATATATATATATATATATATATATATATATATATATATATATATATATATAAATATATATTGCCGTGGATAGCCTACCAAAAGTCGGTAGCGGAAAAATAAAAATTATCCTAGCGAAAGTTTTTATTATTGGTTGAGAATATCACATGTCAAAATAAACAATATTTGTTATACCCTTAAATGAAGAAAATTTAACATATTATTTTTAAAAAACAAAAACGTAAAAAATGTAAAAAATTAAATAGGATTTTCCATTAAATAGAAATGACTGCCACCCCATACCAAAACCCTCAGTCAATGCATGTACACTCCACAGCGCCTATCCCTATACTAGTAAACGTATGTACGCTTCACTGCGCCTATCCCTAAGCTAGTAAATGTATGTACACTTCACTGCACCTATCCCTAAATTAGTAAATGCATGTATATTCCTCGGTGCCTATCCCTAAATCAGTCAGTGTATGAACACTCCATTGCGTCTATTAATGCATTGTGCTATTCCCAGCGTATATCCCTAAATAATTTATTCAATTAATAAGCGTAATAAAACCTAAAAAATATAGAAAAAAACAATCAAAATGTAAAATATATTCCTTAGAAAGGACTCGAACCCGTAGCACCTGCATGCAGTGTTACGAATGTAACCGATAAACTATTGTACATTATGTATTCGAAGGTAAAAAATATCTTTATTTAGCTACTTTATTGTGACACGTGATATTTCTTAACCAATAAAAAAAAACTTTCGGTAGGATAATTTTTATTTTTCCGCTACCGACTTTCAGTAGGCTATCCACTGCGATATATATATATATATATAGTAAAACAATAATTAATTAATATGATAAATAATTCAGAAATTTAATATTTTATACGTTATAATTTGTATCCAACTCTAATAATATCCTGTCTTCATCTACATATTTATTATAACAGTATCACATTTTGTTTAAGTAATTACTTATCTTAGCTCTTTCTTAAACAATATGTAACAGTTATTTATTTCCTCAGTTTCTCGACAAAGATTTGCTTATAAAGAATATTTTATTAACAAATTTTCTAATCATTAATTATATGTAAGTATGGGGGAAAAAATCTAAAACTAAGTATAAATAAATATTTTTATAATTAGACTTTAGATTATGTGAAGGAAAAATATGGCAATATGTAAAAAACATGACCTAATTTTAATTTGACAAAAATACATAAAAATTCAAGAACATGTCGAATGCGTGAAATTTTTGTGTACTTATGTTATTATCTTTAATGTGGATTTCTAAATTTCAAATGTAAGTTGGTCATTAAGAAATTCAACAAGAAAGCACATTCAAAAAATCAAAAAAAAATTTATTTAATTAGATATTTTTTTAACTTTTTTTAGTTTCATTTTAATTTCATATTTTGCATAACCCATATTCTTATTTTGCATAGCTCATGTTATTTTCTCTGTTTTTATTGTTGCTGTTTTTTTTAACTTTAATCCTAATAATGGTATTTCAATAATGAAATAGTACATTATGATCTAGTATAACCTCCAAAGGTTACTTTTTGCTCTTCGGCTTATCAACTTCATCTTTTGTAATATCATAAATTTTCTTTTGAATTTAGATCTGGCAATCTCTTTGCGATAAAATTCATAATTTTTCAAATTATTATCCTGCTAAAATATTAAACTCAATGGCAATATTATACTTTTTTTTTTTTTTTTTTTTTTCACCACGTGTTTATTCTTATTTGTTATAAAAATATTTCAACAAATAAAAATTTTAGAATATTGTTTTCAAAATATAGGCAGTTAAAATGCCAGTTGAATGAGGGAAACTAATCATATAAGTATTATTCATTTATTCTGATAAAGAACATCTCTGCTTTATGTGAATGAGTTTTAGTGTAGATTAGTCACGCTCAACATCGCGTTCACCGTTCACAACATCAGCATCACGCTCACCATTCCGCAGTGGGCCAGGTGGTGGAAAAAAGTATTAAAAAATATTCTCAAAAATGACATTGTTATATACCATTTTATAGCTTAAACATCCGGCTTTTATAAAATGTATATATTTATGTATAACTATCATGCCGTTTGCATTTTAAGCTGTTAGTAAAAAAGGTTGTTTTTTTTTCAGTTTTTTTTGTTTTTTTTGTTTTTTTGTTTTTTAATTTAATAATATTTTTCGTGTTAGTAATAAGCATAAAATTGGTATTAATTATTAAAACTTCATTTTTTTATTTAATAATTAAATAAATCTAAGTATTATCTATCAAATGAGCTATTGCAAAATTATTTTGCACGTAAGCTAAATCAAATAAATTGATTTCTAATGATGGCGTATTTAAAGCACTTTTTTTAGTGAAAATTTCACTTAAATAATGAAATACTTTTGAGCTCCAAGGTGCTCCAGAAATTTGAGACAAAATATCTTGCCCAGTATGTACATTATCGATATATATTTTACCTATTGTCGGCGGGTGTCAGCTGCGTCTCTATTAATGATTTTTACAAGTTTCATCTTTGGGGCAGGGGGGCCAACATTCTGGCTTTTCTTTGTGTTTCCAGGATCCAATAGCAATTTTTTATCAAATCATATTTTTATCACATTAAAAAAAACATATAAATATTTGGAGTTTGTTTTATCTCCAAATGCCTCATAAATAATATATTTTTTGTATTTGTAGGCTGAAAATGAAATATTTTGATATCTATGCATTCATTATGCATAAGCCTAATAATCTACAAATATCTGACTCTGGCATTGTGGACAAACTTATTGATGCTATGAATTTGGATTGCAAAAAGCAGCAATTAGGAACTATAATAACGCATCTACGAGATAAGTGGCGCAAGTCATATTGCAGCATGGCTCGATTTGAAGAAAAGAACAAAAAATGGCTGCAAAGCCATGTTCCTGAAAATTTAAATGTAACACCAATACCTATTGGAAGACCAAATAAGACAAACTGATGATGACTACTCTACTAAAGTTAGTCACTTAACTGAAATGTATTCTGCTTCTGCGTTACAATTTGCTTCAGAAATTAAACGGAGAAAAGAAAACCAAACTGAAAAAACCTCAATAAAAGATTGTAGAATGTCTAAAGATGAAGCTCTTTGTCTTCTTTTAAATGCTAGATTGACAAAAGCTTCCTACCAAATTATTCGAAATCAAGCAGTTAAAATGGGAGTTGATATATATCCTCCATATAATGATGTTTGGGATGCAAAGCTGTTATGCTATCCTGCAGATATATCTGTTTAAGACTTTTCAGCTGAAATAAAACTGCAAGCTTTGGTCGATCATACAGCAAATAGAATATGCAAGGCACAGTATGATGTCCTTAGCACTGAATGCACTCCAGATAGACTTTCTCTGAGATACAAAATAGGTTTTGATGGTGCCACAGGACAGTCTATATATAAACAAATATCACAAGGAACAGTAATAAGAAATTTAAACAATGAGCAGGCACTTTTTATTACTTGCCTAGTGCCATTGAACTTGTGTGGTTTTTCAAATGGAAAACAGTACCCAGCTGGGTGAAATCCAAGACCATCATCTACATTGTACTGTAGACCTCTGCGTTTTAAATTTGAAAAAGAAACAGCAGCAGTTTCTAAATCAGAATTGGATCTCATTAGGGTTGAGATTTCAAATTTGCAAGCTACTGAAGTTGGTATAAATAATAAAAAAATCAAATACATCATATAATACAAATTACTATGATTGATGGAAAACTTCATACTGCTCTTTCAGATGTTACAAATTCATATCAATGCTGTACTATATGTGGGGCAAGTACTAATGCAATGAATGATATTGAAAAAATGGTTTTGAAAAAGGGTATGGCAGGTAGTTATTCATTTGGTTTATCATCCTTACATGCTTGGATACGATTTTTTGAATGTTTATTACATGTTGGATATAATATAACTTTGAAAAAGTGGCAGGCAAGAACTGCAGAAGATAAATCTAAAGTAAAGGCTCTGAAACAACAAATTCAAAATAGATTTAAAGATGAAATGGGCTTGATAGTTGATGTTCCGAAATCTGGTGGTAGTGGAACATCAAATGATGAAAATACAGCTCGAAGAGCATTCCAAAATGCAGAAAAGTTTGCAAAAATTTTAAATAATGATGTTGAACTGATTTTAAATTTGCATATTATATTGACAACAATTTCATGTGGTTTAGATTTTGACACTGATTAATTTGAGGCTTTCTGTTTAAAAACAGCTCGACTCTATGTTCATCATTATCCTTGCTACTATATGCCACAATCTCTTCACAAAATTTTAATCCATGGTTCTGAAATTATCAAAAGTTTAGCATTACCCATTGGTATGTATTCTGAAGAAGCTCAAGAAGCACGCAATAAAGACTTTCAAAACTATCGTGAACATTTTGCAAGAAAATCATCTCGTGTGAAAACTAATCAAGATTTGTTAAATCGACTTCTGTGTACATCTGATCCATGTATTGCATCTCTGAGAAAGACAGCAGGAAATCACACCAAAACGAAAAACTTACTAGCTGGAGTTATTGACTTATTGAGGTCATCCACAGATGATAGTAATTTATAAATGTATTTTTTGTATCTTTATAATTTTGGAAATGTCTGTACCTATATGAAAGTGTGAGTGTAAATTAAAACAATTAGTTATGCTCAATCCTATTAGAATCATCAAATTAATTTGCATACCAATTTTAGAAATATTTGGCTAAAAATAACCCTTAGGAACTAAGCATAAATAAGTGTTGCTATGCAAATGGGGTTGCCTTGGCAACCACACCAAAAAACAATGTTCATTTAAATTATAATCATTCAATTAATTTATATACTAATTTTTGGGGCCTATGGATGAAAGGAAAAAAAGTTATGACTTTTTTCCAAAAATATGGGATTCTGGCCCACTGTGCATTCACAACATCAATATCACGCTCACCATTCACAACATCAACATCACGCTCACCATTCACAGCATCAACATCACCCTCACCATTTACAACATCAACATCAGCAACATTTTGAGTAATTAAAACAGTTCGAAATGTTGAGCTATCAAAGAATATTAATTTCTATTTTTGAAAAGCTAAAATGTATCGACATTTTTGCTTCATTTTGCTTAAATGCCTTTATTTCTTTTATTTGCTAAAGCATAATTTATTTTTCTGTTAGTAATCATCAAGTTATTCGAACGAAAAATTGTTTAAGGTTGTCCTTCTGCGCTATCTTTAAGACATTTGCTTTATAAGACATGTTTTTTAGTTATCACTTTTTTAATTTGATCTTTATAATCGTTTTATTTATTTTTATTTTTTTTAGGTTCAATGATGCATTAGTAATACTTCGATGGTTGTTTGTTTGTTTTTATTGGTTTTTTATTTGTAAATTTTTGAAATTAAATTACAAGTTAAAAATACTATGTTGTTATTTAAAAACATTAAATAGTGTAAATGAGTAAAAACTGAGCTTTAAAAATTATTTTCTATTTATAAATTCGTCTCTTTATTATTTGTGCAGTTTATAAAGTTTTTTAACTTACATTTGTAATTAATTAAACATATCTATAAAATTTTATTAATACCGTAAAGAAACCTTTAAGGTTTAAATTTTTAACGTGAATAACAGGTCTTTAATTGAGTACGCACGCATGTATGGGCTATTAGGTGGAGTTATCCAAAAACGTACGAATCCGTACGTGTATAAATAAAAACGTACGAAAGTCTCTCCGAAAATTTAATGTTTTTTTTTTTAACAAAAGCATTGCAACAATATCATGAGTTTAAAAGAGAAATGTCAAAAAAACTAAGTTATTTTTTGTTTTTTATGTTTTAAAAAATGTATGCGTTTGGAAAAATGGGCGGTTTCTTTTTAATTAATATTGCGTAAGTACGCAGAGGAAAAGTGGTGGTTAAAAACTTAAGGTGGTACACTCCCGCTCAAAAAATTTTCTTCAAAATACTCAAAACCAAATTAAAAACACCACACAAGTTGAAACAAGTATGCTAATATTTTTCTAAATATGAAATCTTGATTTGTCAACTTTTGCCTCGCTTATTCCAGAAAAATTACGCATAAGTGGGTATAATTTAAAAAATAAGGCTCCTCAAAAAAAAATTTATTTAAAAAAGCTTTTTTACAAAAAACCAATTCTATCATGAGAAATAACTGACAAATAATGACAGGATTTAAAAAAATTCAAAATAAATTTAATAGTTGTCATGGCTACCAAGTAAAATGGCCGACATCCAAAAATATTTACCCCGGCCAAGCTATCTCAGTAACCGAATGCATGTAGATTATGAATCTTTGGCTTAATATATATTTTTTTTATTCATTTCGTCACTGTGTATTTTACATACATTTATAAATAAAATTAAAATAATGACAGGAGCAAGTAGAAGACTGTAGTCTTATCATCAATTCCCTTTCAATTGCGACTCTGCAATAATTTTTACGTGAGCTTAACGTGATATTAAAAATTCATAAGTAGAAATAAAGCAAATTCATAACCTTGTACGTAAAAAACAAAGCCTTGTTCGTAAGGATCTGATAGACGGGTATAGCAAAGAAAAACTATTTGCATTGTGATATAATCATCGTTTGTGGTCATCTAAAAGGGATAAGTTCGTTTTAGTTACTATTAATTTGATCTCTAAAAGTAGGAGAGTATGTTGACGTTACTTAAGTTAAATAGGTGCTTTTTGACAGCTGCTTTGAAGAGATTTGATGACTTCATGTTTTTTATTTCTTCTTTAAGGATCGAATTCCATAGCCGCGGTCCTCGAGTTAAGGGGCTACCCCCCTCTGTTTTTAAATCTATGTATTTAAAAAAAAAAATGTTATGGGTTTCTAGGTTTTAGTAAAATATAAACCTTTTTAAAAAAAAATTAAAAAAAAATTGGTGGTTTCCTTGGTAACCAAAAAATACCCCTAAAATGACCAAAAAATAACTTCACGCTGGCCAAAATATAAGAATATGTGTACATATTTACCTTTTAAAATTTTAATACAATATTATCATAAAGTAGGGCTGTGAAATGAATGGATCAGATTTTTCATAACATTTTGCCATCATCAAAATAGCGCAATCAAAGATTATGGTCAAAATTTTCATCGATTTTAGGTCATATATATATATTTTTATTAAAATAAATAAATTCCATTCCATTCATTTCACAGAGTATAATATGATAAACAATTCCTGAAAATTTCATATAAAAATGTAATACGGTTCTCCAGATAATTTGGCCGGCGTGCACAAATTTCTATTTTGAGAAAAAGACGATTTAAGTTAAAATTTTTGAAAACAATACAATTTTTTTCATAAAAACTGTTGAAAAATAAACAAAGTTTTCAAAATCCACCAGGAACATACAAGTCACCTTCTTTTTCAATTATTTTCTCATTCTTCTTCAGTTTCTTGGCACGTAATACTTGCCTTCTTAACTTTTTAACAGGGTTGATTCTAATTTTTGCTTTTTGTAATCTTTCATTATTTAATGATTTGCATCCTGCAATCATATGAAAGCCTGGTTCCATGTCCAGTTGCTTCAAAATATCAATAGATGCTTTTGCTCAAATATTAAAATTGGCAACAGATTCATATACACCAATTTCTAATTGGGTAAGTGATACAAATGTTTGTTTTGGTATATGCTTCCAAATCATTCCATTAAAAAATTCATTGGCATTTTGTGTCTTACCGTGCAAACATTTTTGTAACTCAATGTCTTTACTTAAATCCTCAAATATAGGTCTTACTTTCATTATGACATCCATTGGTAAACCCGGTCCTGGCTTATAGGTTGATGTCTTATTTATTTTATCGGCATTGTATTTGCACCAGCTGTCTGCACCAGTGGGGCAGTGTGCGAAATGTAAGCTATTATTTTTTGAGGAAGCAACATGAAATAGTGATACCAACACTAGTTGGATCAGAATTTTGGAGGCTTTGAGTTAAATTACAACCTTTACAATATCTGGACATGATTTCAACATCTAAATTTTGCCACTAGCAGTAGAGATGGCAGAAAAGACTCCGTTGAGTGATGAGTATCCTCGTTTTTGCCATGTTCCATCGCAAGATACACAAATATCGGTTACTTTCAAAGCTGTATTTTGCAATTTATTAGCAGCATTTAACATTGTTCATTTTGCTACAGTTTTAACAGCTTTTGAAATTACTTTTATCAGTTTTTCAAAATTGTTTTTAGTCATTGGCTTAGGTAGATTCATAATTGTACAAAATTTTTTTATGTCTGCATATCCCAATAATCGCATACAATAAATTATTCGTTTATTGATATCAAATCCGTTTTTATTGTCATAGTTAGAAGTGTAGAACTTTTGAAAATAGTTACAACCTCTTTTCATACACTTAAGATATAGTAAGGATGATAAACCACGTTGTTAAGTATAACTCTTACTTAGTGAGAGTGATGAACAACCACACTCTGGACACAGAACAGAACTTAAAATAGACGTTAAAACAGCAACATCAATTATACGATAACCAGATATGACAGGTTTTGAAATAATTGTATCTTCTAAGTTTTCGATTTTATGAGCTGAAGCTGACAAATTAGGTGGATTTTCAAAAATTGGTTCAGTAACACAAGTGATGTTAGGGGCACTTGGATTTATTGTCGGCAATTAGATATTAGTACTATCAGATACAATAACAGTATTAACAGAATTTTGAACATTTCCCATAAACCTTTTCCTTTTTTTATGAGTTTGTGTACATTTCTTAACTCGACAAGCTTTTCCCATTTTTACTAATTAAACTAACCTAATAAAATCTCAAGAACTGACTAAACTGAAGAATATTGTCGTACTTGATGTACCAAGGTATTGGTAAATTCTTGAAAAACGCATCAAGAAGTTGTTCAAGCTTATGCATTGCAAGTTTAACACTATTTTGGATGAAATTAAGGTAAAAGTATGGTGTATAAAATTGTTTAAGTGCGTTGCTATGGCGTTGCTAAGGAAATTACTTAGAGGTGGTTAACTTAAATAGACAATTTAAGATAGTTAAAGATTAATCTGATACATCCAAAACAAATTTTATGATTCTGCATAGATTGAAAGAGTTAAAATTAAAAAAAAAAAAATTGAAAATTTTGAAATTTTATGGGGGGATAGCCCCTTAAGATAGAGAAATCAGTTATTTTAAGTAAAATTTTTGGAATGTTAAAGTTGTACTGTAAATCGCTAATACTATAAAGTTGTACTGTTTGGAATGTAAAAAAGTACTTTGTTGGGTATTTGTGATCAATGGTGGAAAATTGATTTTCAAAGTATTTTGGTAGTAAATTGTTTTGCGATTGAAATATAAATAATACATTTTGGAAAAGGTTCAGTTCATAAATATTTAGAGCTCCAATTTCCCTGAATAATGGTTTAACATGGGTATATCTGATCTACAAACTGAACTAATTATTGATCTACAAACTGAACTAAAATTATTTTAAAAAACTAAGTGCTTGACCTATAATTAAATTTTCAAAATAGCGTATTAAAAATATGATTTTTTTGTAACCTAAAACTTCTATGAATCAAAAACTCTTGATTGTATTAAAAAACCTTTAATTCCAATTGTACAACTAGATGCAATAAACATTTTGTAAAAATTTCATATAAATTTGACTTACGGTTAATGAGATAGGATGGCCGGGAGGTCAAAAATTTACATTTTGAGAAAAACTCGTTTGAATATTATATTCAAACGAGTTTTTCTCAAAATGTAAATATTCAATTTTTCATAATATTTTCACTCATATACTCAATTTAAAAACTTTTATTTATATGAACATAAACCAGGGTCATAAAGAAAACCTTCTTGCTCATTCTCTGCATCATCTTCTTTTTTTTTTTTGCATCCACGAATAACTTTTCGTCGCTTTTTAGATGTAATCCGATTTTGATATTCTGCAAAAATCAAGCATGGTTGAACAGCCTTGGAGAGTATATATACCAGGAATCATATTCAACTTTTCCAACAAAAGTATGCTTGCTTTTCTTCCAATATTAAAATTTGAAACAGCATCTTAAACCCCTAACTCCACTTGCGTTAATGAAACATACTTTGCGTAGGAATGTGCTCCGAGATGGAGATCTTAATTAAAACTATATTTGCGTTATTGAAGACATATAGAAAATAAGCGATAAGAAATGTTGTAGTTTATTATTAACTTTTATTCTGGTTTTGAGTTTTACCATTAAGCCATTTTTTAAGTTTTTCTTGAGATAAATCTGTATACATAGGCTTTAGATGACTGACAACTGAGAGAAGAAAACCAGCACCTGGCTTGTAGGTAGACATTAAATTAGCTTTATCCTGTTTATAACAACACTATTGATGTTTCTGTACATGTCCAACACACTCCAACTTACACACCGTTATACCAGGATAAGTATCCTTAACATACGAATAGCATTTACAATCACCGTCACTATAATACTTTACATACCTCAGTTTGTTTTGTGAAATAGAATGGCTAAATATTCTTTGAGCGCCGGTTACTTCCATTCCAGGAGCAGAGTCACGAATTTAATTTACATAGATGTGATGATTTCAAGCTTCAAAGGCATTTGGGTTATTTTCTTTAAGTTTTAGTTTTAAAATACAATACATACATTAAAAATATTTGAAGAAGATTGACAAATGTCTTTAACAGCGTCAGACATCGTTTTTTTTGCGACAACTTTAGCACAATCAGAGACATGTTTAATTATTTTGTTGTAATTGTTCTTATTCATTGGTGCAGGAATGTGGTAAATTTTTCTAACCCTAAATAACTTTGACCACATGCATGCATAGAATAAACTATTCTATTATTACATCAAAATTTTTCTTGCCAGAACATATCATAACATAATTGACTTATTACACCAGATAAAATTTCAATATCAATAATACGATAACTAACAGTTTTATTATTACTTTGATGTGGTGTCTCAAATTTTTCAATTTTTTTTTTGAGGATATAGATAAATCTAATGAAGTATCATTGGAAATAGGGTCGTTTTCAGAACTGGAAACACAGTTATTAACAGGAGCTACTGATAAAGGTAAATTGTTTGTCAAATTTTTGGTATGCATATTTCCATGAAATCTTCTGGATTTTTTACTTTGAATACTTTGTTTGACTCTGCATGATTTACCCATTGTTATAAAAATATTTATTAAATAAAACAAAAATAACTAAATAGCTAGTAACTCTTATAAAAAAAAACCGTTGCTATGCGTGTTGCTAAGCAGATCAAATTTACCAGTTGAAAGAAACGTCTTATATCTCAATAACTAAGTCTTATTTTTAAAAAAGGTTTTCGAATTCGGATTCAGCGATAAACTTTGTGTAAGAAATACACAAAACATTTTTTTTGAATTTTTTAAGAACTTTGAGGGGTCTTCTATCTTAAAACAATATTTCTGTTAATCATTTAGTTACGAAATTTTGACATTATTTTCTTGAAATATGCAAAGAGGTTATAAACCAGAATCATGCATTAAATATGCATAGAACATTTTAAAATTAATTTTTAATAGATTTATTAAAATTTTATCAAAAAATGCAAGAAAAAATTGTATTAAGTATACTTTGACACTATACTTATTTGTAATTCTGGTTCATTACCTAAGTCAAACAATAACAAAAGCACCCTGAAAATTTCAAGTTAATATAGGGTCGCAATCTAAAAATATCATGTTTTAAAAATTACATATTTGCTAAAAATGACGTTTTGAGAAAATTACAATAAACAAAGAAAAAATTCGTTACATTACAAAAAAAAGCATGAGCCCATTTATAACATTCACTAAACATAAAGCACATAATAAAGAAGAAGCTGAAGTATATAAAAAATATTGTTGTTTAGAAGCAACAAGTTGAAATTTTCTTGTTTAAAAATGTGTTGCTATGGCGTTGCGAAACCCTTTAAAGGCCAAAGTACACACAGAGCCGGCGCTAGCACTAGGCAGACTAGGCAGCTTCCTATAAAATATAAAAAATCTAACTAAAATTATAATTTTATAATAAATTTTATATAATGATGAGAAATTTTCCATTTCCAAAAATTGAGCATAATCTGCAAGGCAAATTAGCGTATCACTCGCAGGCTTTAGGCAAAGCCAACGTGTGGTGTTGTAATGTTATTAAATAGTGACTCCTGCTTCTTGTCTCACGTCTGTGTTTATATTAATAATATGAGAGATAATTAACAACTTGAGTTGCGTTTTCCAAATAAAGTAAATATTTTCTTTTTAAATTATAAACACAACAAACAAAATTGTATATTATCCGTTCGTTGTTCCTCATGTTCATTCGATCGCCCGCATATTCAATCAGTTATTTCACATTCGTTCGCTTGCGTTTGGTTAACGAGTACTAGATACTTCTTCTGTCTGTCTCTGATTCTTTGAATAAATTTCAATTGAACTCTTTCCCTCCGCAAGCCGCTTTGATTGCGGCTTTTAATTTTTTTTTTTTATTATGACTGCAAGCCGCTGGAAGCGGCTTTCGAGTATGCTTCTCAATTTATCCTGTTTTGTGCATAAATCTAGACACATAATTTGTTTTTTCTTTAAGTTTAATTAGTTCTCTACATAATCAAGTACAAGTATGAGCCATAATGTGTAACTATAGTTAGTTATCACTTGACAAAGTTAAAATATCTCAAGTAATCCTTGATAAAAAAAATTTCTTTAAATTTAGTTCGTAATTAAATTAAAGAAAAAAGAAAAAAAGAAAAAAAAAAAAAAAAAAAAAGAATAAGAAATCCAAGTGATGATGTCACAAGTGATGATGTCATAAGTGATGATGTTACATATTCATTTAGTGTTAATTATGAGATTTTATTTTTTCAATTTCTTTTATATTCAGGAATTTTTTTTTTTTTTTTTTTTTTATATTAACTTATTTCTTAAACATTTTAGCAACTGTTAAGCATCTTAACGCTTCTTAATTAACTCTTATTTTTTATTTTTTTTATTATATTAGTTATTTTCTATTTCATTTCTAATTGTTTCTTTTATATATATATTTGTATGTTACGGTTATGTAGAATTTTTAATGGGGCTGGGCGAAAAGGCGAAATGTGTCTTCTTCTTGCTCCAGCCATCAATTTATATAAATGTATATGCAATGTAAACATTTTTTAACGGCGAAATAAATTACACTAAAAAAAAAAAATTAGTAAAATAAAGCAGCGTTAACACTGTAAAATTTAACTTGTAGAAGCGTGTGAGTATTTAGCTAAGTAATTACAAAGGTTTTTTTTTTCAAGAAAAACGTTCTTTTTATACATTAAATAAGTTTTATTTCGGACTTTATGTTTTATTTATTTTATTTTTATTTTTTTTATGTTACTATTTATAAAAACGATGGTTTAAGTACCTTGCATTTCTTATTGTTCAACGATGCGTGTTAAAAACTTATTTAATTAAAAAGTTCATTTGTTTATCTTTCAATTAATATATAGTTTGTAACAAACTATATATTAATTGAACAAAGCTAACAAATTGTTACGCTTTTAAAAAGATATACTATTCGAATTTTAATTAGTTTTTTATGTTATTTCATCCAAATTTTATTCAAAAAAACGTGCGGTCACAGCGAAAAGATTTTTGTTAAAACGGCGGTAGCGAAAGAGTTAAGTGTTGACTATTATATCTTATTTATAATAAGTATTTAACTGACGATATTCTTATCGATTGAAAAGGTAGTGTATTACTTCAATTCTACTATTGTACGCTAGCAAGTAATAAGTAAATATTTTATAATTACACATTTCTAACGTTTTTTAACCATGTCTGAGAAAAAGTGACTATCAGTAAAGAAAATTAAAGAAAGTCAAAGAAAAGCTATTTTGAAATATTTTCGTGCAGAAACACATTCTACAGGTACTGATTCTGCTACTGAAAGCGATAGTGGTGTGAGTAAAAAATCTAAAGTGATAGTTGACGATAAAACTGCTAATAATGCTAATATTTCAAATCAACAAAATGAAGTTGTAAATATCAATGAAACCCAAATTTATCTACCTGAAGCAACTCCTGCTGTTAATATTTCAAGACAAATTGAAACTGAAACTCAAATTAGCATATTATCATCTGCAGACTACAGTGACCCTGCAAATTGGCCTACTCATTTTAGTGACAATTTTCGGCAATTTGTTAGAAAAAGTAGACCGCAACAAATTGAAAAATATAACTTTCCACGAGATCGAGATGAACAAAAAAGAAAATTTTCATCAATCTATTACAAGCGGACATTACCAAATGGAGAAAAAGTCTCTCGTTCTTGGCTTATATATTCAGTTTCAAAAAATGTAGTTTTCTGTTTATGTTGTAAATTATTTGGTAGAAGCAAAAGTAGTTTGCCGGCTTTAGAAGGTTCAGGTTTAAACGATTGGAAGAATATTGGAGCACTTCTTTCTTCTCATGAAAAAAGTAATTCACATCTCGTAAATTTTCAAATGTGGAAAAAACTTGATATACGTTTATCTACAGAAAAAACCATTGATCATATTAACCAACACAAAATTAATGAAAAAGAACAATATTGGCAACGAATTTTAGAAAGATCTTAGATAGAATTGCCTTAGTCAGAGTACTGGCTACGCAAAACTTGGCATTTCGTGGAACAAATGAAAAGCTTTACAATAACGCCAATGGTAATTTTTTAAAATTTGCTGAGTATCTCGTTTTATTTGACCCATTAATGAATGAACATGTGGGGAAAATGAAAAATCAAGAAATTAAAACTGCTCATTATCTTGAAAAAGAAATTCAAAACAAATTAATACAAATACTAGCAAATGCTATAAAAGATAATATCTTGACTAGAGTAAAATTTGCGAAAATATCATTCTATAATTTTAGACTGCACCCCAGATAATAGCCATACAGAACAAATGACAATAAAAATTCGTTTTGTTGATTTAGAATCACCAACATCGCATGATGGGGATTTTATTTAAAATTAAAGAACATTTCTTAGGATTCATACCTGTGGAGAAATCTACAGGTGGTTTTTTGGCAAAAACATTAATTGAACAATTGGAATATTTTAATTTACCAATTGAAAATCTCCGTGGACAAGGATACGATAACGGAAGCAACATAAAGGGTAAGGAGAATGGGGTACAAAGAAAAATTTTGGATATAAATCCTCGGGCGTTTTTTATTCCTTTTAGCGCACATTCACTAAACTTAGTTGTGAATGATGCATGCAAGTGTAGCTTAGATGCAATAAGTTTTTTTGGTGTGGTGCAACAGATTTATAGTTATTTTTCGGGATCACCTTCTCGTTGGCAAGTTTTTCGTAGCTATTTTCGAGATTTTACTGTCAAGTCATTAAATGATACAAGATGGGAAAGCCGCATTAATGCTTTAAAACCATTACGATACAATCTCGGAAAAATTTACGATGCTTTAATGCAAATATTTGAGGATCCAAGATTACAAACTACATCAATAGGAAATTCTTCCTGAAATGAGGCGAAAGGGCTTGCAAATTCTATTTGCATATTCAAGTTCATGGTTGCCCTTGTTTCATGGTACGGCATTCTTTTTGTAGTTAATATTTCTAATAAAATATTACAAAATAAGAAAGTTGATTTGAATGTAGCTACACAACAATTAAATATTACTAAAAACAAACTTGTAAAAATTAGAAATGATGAAGGCTTTCAAAGAATTACTGTTGATGCTGCTGAAATTGCAAAAGAATTGGAAACAGTAACAAATTTTGAAGAAAAACATGTCGGGAGAAGGAGAAAAAAGCGACTGTTCGATTATGAAACACAAGATGAAGCGTTGCAAGATCCAAAAGAAAAATTTAAAGTTGAATTTTATTTTAAAATTTTAGACACTGCTATGCAGTCTATTGCGGAAAGGTTTGAACAAATGCGACAGTATAATAGTATATTTGGCTTCCTTCATGATATTTTTTTTTTTATTTTTTATTTTTTATTTGCATTCACTCCCAACAAGGCTGCAAGCAACCACTATTAAGTTGGGAGTTACTAGGAAAAAAAAGAACAGAGTTATAGAGCAAGGAAACGGTTGACAGAAGACTTGAAAAGTTGAAGGTTGTATGAGTCAGGAAAACATGAAGATGGGAGAGAGTTCCAAAGGATTGAAGTGCAGAGAAAAAAACTAGATAAATAAAAGTTTTTAGAGCATGCAGGGACAGATACAGTAAACGAATGAGACTTAGCTGAATGACGAGTAAAACGAGAATGAATTTTAGTTGATGGAACTAGAGATGATAACTCCTTTGAGCAGTGACCATGATAGTATCTGTAGAAAAGAGAAAGAGATGCAACTTTACGACGATGGGAAAGAGGTTCAAGCTTAGCAGATAGTCCAGGTCCAACAACATTTACAATGCGTTTTTGAACCTTGTCAAGAAAAGAAAGTGAATCGTTAGAAGAACCAGCCCAAATATGACAACAGTATTCCATACAGGGACGAATAAGAGATTTGTAGAGGTAGAGAATGGAATCAGAAGTAAGGAAATGGCGAGCACGATAAAGAGGAGCAAACTTAGCAGAAGCTAATTTAGCAATCGATTGTATATATGGTTTCCATGAAAGGTCAGTAGTAAGCGATAATCCAAGAAGACGTAAAGAGGAGGACTCAGTAAGAGGATTGCCATTCATTAATATAGAAATGTTGACCATATTACGGTAGTTGTTTGCAGTAAGCAATTGGGTTTTTTTTCTATTTTTTTCTTTTGGGTATTTATTCTATAAGTTCAAAATCTTCAGCAGAATTATTGAAAAATTGTAGAAATCTAGAAGAAATTTTAACTCATGGTTCTCAAAAAGATATTAGTGCAGCGGATTTTTGTAATGAAATCAAAGTACTTTCTGGAAGACTCCCACAACAAATGACACCACATGAAGTACTAACTTTTATAATTTAATTGACTGTCTACCAAATATATGTATTTCTTTAAGAATACTATTAACACTTCCAGTGTCCGTCGCAAGTGGCGAGCGAAGTTTTTCGAAGTTAAAAATAATTAAAAATTATTTGAGGTCGACAATGTTACAAGAACGACTGGTGGGATTATCAATAATTTCGATAGAACACGAAGAATCATCAATATTAAATTTGAAAGAAATTGTAAAAACATTTGCAACAAAAAAAGCCAGAAAAATAAAAATTTAAATATGCTTTTATTTTTATTATTACATATTTTCAAAATACAAATGAACTTTCTAGTTTCTGAAATTCAAATTCGCTAATAATTTAAACATCAAATCAGAAACAAGTTTTTTTATTCTTTGTAACTATATTATATTCCAAGTTTTCCATTTTTATTCTTAATTCTAGATTATTACTTATTATTATTTCTTGAGATAAGCTAGGTGAATTATTATTATTTTGGTGCGATTAAATATTAGGAATAGTCTTTATTAATTCTATTAAATGTTACTTTTATTCTTAGAATGTCATAAAATCTCAAATATTTTTATTCTTGTAAATAAAAGTTGAGTGGCTGAAATCCTAAAATGTCAAAAATAAATATTTAATACTTAAATATATCCACCATTTTATAATGTTTATGCCATTTTAAATAAAATTAAAATTCATGTTTTTGCTCTTTCAAATTAAAATATTTTTTTTCGGAGGGAGGGGTTGAATTTTTTTTTGCCTAGGACGCCAAATACCCTAGCGCCGGCTCTGAGTACACACACTTATTTATTTATTTTATTTTTAAAAAAAATTTCAATCATGTTCTATGAACTAAAAATATAAATATTTGAAAAAATTATTTTTTTTTTAAATTTCTAAAACTAATGGGGGTGTACTTTGAAGGGGCGTACAAGTGGGGGGAGGGGGAGGGGTTCTTAAAACAGTAGTTTTACTAAATACGTACTTTATGGATTTCCCCTAAACTATATAAAATTCACTAGCAAAAAGATCATAGTTCTTCCATTGACTCAAGTGCATTAAAGTAAATGAAAAATTTTCACAACTTAAAACAAACCAGATTCTCTAAATATCTAGATAAGTAAAGATTTTGTGAGAAAGAAAAAGTATAATTTGTATTTCTAATAACAGTTGTTTAAAAAGCTACCAAACAGATAGTGAAACTCGACTGTGATGTGGTGCTATTATAATAGATTTCCGATTACAGTTTTTAGGTTTCCAAGAAATATAGATAAAATATTAACTACTGATGATTAATTCAAATAAGTTCTTATAAATTTTACTATTGGCAAAAAAAAAATTAATAAACCGATGCTTAATTGCTTTTAAGTACCATTACTTTATGTACAAATTAATAACAAAGATTTTTTAATACGATTATTTTTGGCTCTCTTTTAGTCAAAGTTATACTACACTACGGTATTAATATACTACGGTATAAACAACGGTACTAATATACTACGGTAAAGACTCTTTTGCATTCAAAAATAAACTCGTAATATAAAAGTGAGAAAAAAATAAAAAAATGTTAACTTAAAGTTAATAATTGAAACATAAAATAACAATGTTACAGTTAACAACAGTGTTATAAATCAAAAACCGTTGCGTAGCATTTATGTTTTATCAATGTTAAACTTTATATTATAGTGTTAAAACAAAAGTTAAAATAAACGTCATTTAAAAAAAAAAACAATTTATTTTTCTGATCGTTTTGTGTTGCTACTTTTTGCTGAGATTTTTTTTAACATATATAGGGGAGAGCGAACATGGTCAAAACAGCGTTATAGAAAAATAAATTTGATAATTTTTACCTGCTGAGATGGGATTCCGATGTGTTCGGAATTTTTTTTTTAAAACCATTGAGGGTTTGTGACTGAATAGTTAAACTAATTGATAAGCAATAAATATAATCAATTTTGTATAACTGATGTCTTTAATTCGCATTCCTGCTTAGGTATTCGCCAATACCCAACTCGTATTCTAACGTTTTAGGAGATTAAGTATTAAGAGAGCGTATTCTATTCTAGTACTAGGAGAGCGTATTCTAACGTTTTAGGAGATTAAGTTTTTATTGATCTCTATGAAATAAAACCTAAGTTTATTTTGCGCTGTATGCAAAGTAAACTTAGGTTTATTTCATAGAGGTCATGAAATATTGAAAGTCAAAATTGAAGTTATCTTATAAAACATTAAATTTTATACATTTTTAGCTCGTATAATGTATAAATATTCATATTTCGAAAAGTGGTTTTACATGTTTTTTGATTGCCCGAATTTTTTAAGAGTGGAGTTGACTCTAACATTTTAAACTACAAATTGATTTCAATCTTTCCTAGTTTCTCAAAGACACTTTAGCGTATAATGTACAAGAGGCTCTATGATTATCTGACAAAAAAACGAAATGTATAAAAAACAGTTCGGGTTTAAAAAAAAGCATTTAACCGAACACGCTGTAGTTGAGCTTGTAAACGAGATATAGGACGCTCTAAACAACAACTATTTTACATTAGGAGTTTTCATTCATCTGCCCAAAGCCTTTGATACAATAAACCATGATGTAATGCTTAGTAAACATAAACACTATGGCATTAGAAATAAAAATTTACTTTGGTTTAAAAACTATTTAACAAACAGAAAACAATTCATTTATTAGGATTCAAAAGAAAGAGTTAAACACTCAATTACTTGTGGGATTCTACTCTATTCTAGGGCTACCATTGTTTCTACTGTACATAAATAACTTTTATTTATCATCAAATCTTATAAATTTAATTCTATTTGCAGATGACTCTAATCTCATTTATTTACACAAAGACATTGAAATACTTTTTAAACATGTTTGTAAACAATTAGATAAAGTTAATGAGTGGTTTGTAAGTAACAAACTTTCTCTGAATGCTGAAAAAACTATTTTACTTTGTTCCAAAAAGTGAATAAAACTGATAACGTTCCATTAAAATTACCAAACCCTATTATAAATGAAGCTATAATTAATAGAAAATCATCGGTAAATTTTAAAGGCGTTGAATTGGATAAAAAATTAAGATAGAATTTTTATATAAACAGTCTTGAAAAAAAAATTCTTGAAATATAGGAATGATTTATAGAAAATCATTTTTTAATTTTAAATCACTAAAAGGTTTATACTTTGCATTTATCCAAAGTTACCTAACATACTGTTATATTGTCTGGGCAAGTACCAATCATACAAAATTAAAAAGCTTTATAGTAAACAAAAACATGCATGTCGGATTATATTTGGAGCAAAAAGACCAATTATTGTGTTTACTTAGAGTTTTAAATATTTATAAAAAAAATTTTCATAAAATTTTAGTCTTCATGTACTTTATGTATACAACTAAGCTATAACCTCGTCAAAAATAATTGTATCCTATTTTAGTGAAGTCTGCCATAAATATAACACAAGATTCTCAGTCAACAACTTCGCTGTCCCAAGATATAGTTTAAAATTGAGTTCATACTCATTTAAGTATCATGGGCCATAATTATAGAATTTTGTTTTTAGATATAACAAATAAATAAAAAATCCACTCTTGATTGATTTAGAGAATCTTAACGGTTGTTCTTATTTATGGATTTCACTATGCTAGATTTTTAATCTCTTTTTTAAATAAAGTAAAGCTCTAATAAAAAATCAAAAAAACATAAAAATAATTCTTTTAAAAGAATGTCATTATCACTATCCACCACAACAAAGTTTATTAATGATATTCCTCTCTAAATATAAATATTTGTATATATCTCTTTTTTTTTTTCATCTTTTTTAATTTTATTACAAGTATATAATCGTTTTTTTGTAACTATAGCTGCCTTCTTTTTCTTTTTGCAAGTGCAGATAATGTAAGTATTTTAGCAATTACTAATTACTACTTTGTATATTTACGCCGATATAATACGATATTTATAAATCACGATTTTATAAAAATGGGGCTCGGTGATAAGACAGATTATGTCTTCTTCTTGCTTCAGCCATTTTTTATTTTGTTGTATACATATGAAAACTGTATTTTATGTAGAAGGCGAAATGAACATAAAAAAAAATGTTCTTTTTTATTATTGTTTCAAATTCATTATTGTTTTTTTTTAATTTATTTTTCTGTTTTTGTTTGAGTGTTTCTAGTTCGCTTTTAAAAAATCCTTCGACTAGGGACGACGTCATCCAGAGTAAGATGAAAGGGGGGGGAAGGGGAAGGACACGTGCCTTTCAACTTTTTTTCTTAAGGATGTTTTTTTTTCTTATATATAGAAAATTTTAGACATTTTTAGAAATTGACAATTGTACCCCTCCACTTCAAAGCCCGTGTCGTCGGCCATTATTTTTATGACAAGTGGCCAATATAGACAATATGTTTGTTCCAGGTAATATTTTTTACCAAAAAACTTTGTCATTTGTTTGCGACATTAAAATGTTTTTAAAAATTAATTTTATTTAAAGAATGGAGTTAAAACAAAATTTGTTCTTAAAGAATTAATGGAGTTGGTTTGTTTTAAACCATATTAAACATTATTGTTGATGTGATTGACACTCCCCAAAGATCATTTGCACAAATAGGAAAAGTAGAGGCCCGAGAAAACCTTTGAATTATAGAATTATTCATATTTCTTGTTTTAGGAATTCATAATTCTGCTAACTGGTTGTGCAGTTTCAGCGCAGTTGTTAGAGTTCTAGTTCAGAACCTGGTTTCTTCTTTACCAATGCTTAAGCAGCATTGGTAAAAAAGAAAGTGTAAGTTTCCTAGTTAAATGTTCTTTCTTGATGTTTAGTGATACCGTCAGAACTTCTGGGATTGAAGAGTCGACCACTGCGTCACGGCTGTACTACTTACAACCAGAATTCTAAATTGCGATAACAACCAAAAAGCAGAATCCTGAAACTTAAAATGTTTCCTACTTTTTCTTATATATGTAAATGATCTCTGGGAAAAGTCACTTAAGAACTACAAAAAAAAGGAGGGGGGCTATGAGGAGGAGAGGTGCAAGCAATTAATCTTTTAATAAAACTTTTTAAGATTCTGTAGTTATACCTATCTCTTATGTATAGATCTATGTTGCATTTTTTAGGGGTTTCATAAATTTACTTAGAGGTGTCAAATACCCTGTGTTTGTAGATGCATTGCACGCATTTTAATTTAATTCAAGTAAAAAAGGTAATAACTCTAAACAACCAGAGATTCAAACGTTTATATAAGAAATCTATGAACTCCCACCATGGGTTGGTCCTACATAAGATGCAAATCGATTAAATATTATAAAATTGATAAAACAAGTCAAATTATACGTAAAACATTTTTGTATTTTTGTAAGTTAAACTCAACGAATTGATAGTACAAGTTTTTACGTAACTTCTCGTAGTTTCACGTAAAGTTTCTCCATTGATTTAATTAAACAAAGATTTTCAAAATTGACCATTTAGATTGCGTTTCTGAGTATAATTTAGAATTGCATATTATAATACAATATAAAAATAATCTGTTATAATTTCTGTTATTCTATAATAAATTTGTACAAATATAAAATACAATACAAATATAAAGTTTTACAATGTGTAAGTTTAACTTAATAATGTTAATGTGTAAATATAATTTTTATAATAAATTTGTAAATAATGTGTTAATATATAATACCACTATCGTAAAGTGCCCAAGTGATATCCTTGCATATTTTTAAGCGAAGAAAGACTCTAAATAGATTAACATATATATATATATATATATATATATATATATATATATATATATATATATATATATATATATATATATATATATATATATATATATATATATATATATATATATATATATATATATATATATATATATATATATATATATATATATGTATATATATATATATATATATATATATATATGTATATATATATATATGTATATATATATATATATATATATATATATATATATATATATATATATATATATATATATATATATATATATATATATATATATATATATATATATATATATATATATATATATATATATATATATATATATGGAGTTCCACCTCGCATTGCTGATGTTGGTTATATTCTAAAACCTTATTAATAGAAATGTCCCTTTTCCTCAAAAAATTGGAACACTCGAGTGAGATAACCATGTTAATCACTTTAGTAATATAACCATGTTTCATCCACTTTAGTAATATCAAAAATTTCATCAAGGGGTGCTTAGCTTTTGATAATTTGCTTTTGGAGAGGCATTCTGCACTTTTTTTCCAGTGAATATTCTTCCAAAGGGACCATTCTTCTTTTTTTATGAGTCTTCTAATTTTATCAGATTATTGGTCCAGATATCCTTGTTCTTCTGAATGCTACTATCGCTAGGCTTGTACAACGCCATGTGTTGCTTCTGTAATAATATATAATTAGATGATATATATAGTCTGAAATGCTCTAGAATATTCCAGAATATTTTAAATTGTTTTAGAATGTTTCAATATATTTTAAATTATTCTAGAATGTTCTAAATTGTTTGTTTTAAATTGTTCTAGAATATTTTAAAATCTCTTAAAATATTCTGTTATTTTCTAAAATATTCCAAAGTTCTAAACACTTCTAATCTATACAAGTTTTAAATGATTTGCAGGAAAGCCACACGTATTAGTAGTAGCAGTAACAAGATTAAATAAATGACGAAACGTAATTCGAATTGCGGGGTGACCTTTTTTTACAACCGAGAGGAAGTGAACATGTTTTTAATATTTTCTAATAAAAGTTCATCGATTTATGACACAGGAAATTAATTTTTTCATTCACGGATTGTAACTCTGCACTGTACATAAATCATTATAAATATTTAACATTATCTTGGACTGGGGCTGTTGACGAGTGCTTGGGTAACCGTCCATTGGTTACTACCTATAATGCGATCCGTTATCCTAAACTACCCAAATGCCACCGTTATCCATGTGAAAACAATATATGTGTTTCATAATTTACAGATGATTAATTATATTTATACTTTATACGTTTGCAGCTATCAATTGCAAAATAACAATTTGAAAGTTTAAACTTGTTACACCAAAGAAGATCTCAAAGATCTTGTTGTAAATTTCAATAGCTATGACTTTTTTTTATCATTGTAAGAAATTTGGAAAGCATCAAGAACTATTCTCTTATATCAAAGTTTTAATGTTTCTCTTTGTTTTTTTTAAATTCTTCAACTGGGACAATTTTTTTGTTATAGAGATAATATTGATTTACAGGCCTTCGATAAATTTTATTTTTTTACCTTCTATCGTGCACTGAAAGAAATTTAAACCAAGAGTGTTATAGCAATCACTTTACTTCTATTAACTTTTTGTTCATAGCTTTTATAATTTTAAATGGTTATATATATTTAAATAATGGTTATATATATTTTAAATGGTTATATATATTTTAAATGGTTATAAATATTTAAAAAATGTTCGTAAGTTTTAAGTTGAATTGTTTTATAATTTTACTTTTAATCTTTTGATCATGAAGTTTTAAACTGTTTAAAATGTCTTACTTTTTATTAATTTTTTTTTAATTTTTTTATATATTTTTTTTTAATTATGAGGTGGGGGGGGGGGGGGGGTTAGGGGGATTGCTGTTGTATTTTATAGGGGTTGTCCCTAAAGTTCGACAAGTTGTTAAATAGGGAAAGGGGGAGGTAAAAGTTGCCAGAAAATTGTTGACGTAATTAATGGACAGCCCCTGGTATAACTTGATTTCAGCCTCTGGACATAATTAATGGACGCTTTTCTTTCCGCTTCAAATAATTTTTGTGTTAAAGACATCACTATAGTAAACTATCGAAAATATTATTATCTAACGTTGCTACCACTAAACCTCTTTTTAATTACTACCCAGCCGGCAAATAACGTTGAAATAACGTTGAAATATCGTCGAAACCTAACGTTGAATTAACGTTGGTTTAACGTTTAGAATGAAAGTTTTTTTCAACGTTGATTTATCAACGTTAAATCAACGTTAGGTTCAAACGTTATATCAACGTTGAATCGACGCGAAAAAACGTTACAATAACATTGAATTAACGTTGATTTAACGTTTAGAATGAAAGTTTTTTTCAACGTTGATTTATCAACGTTAAATTAACGTTAGGTTCAAACGTTATATCAACGTTGATTCGACGCGAAAAAACGTTACAACAACGTTGAATTTACGTTGATACAACGTTTAAAATGATAGTGTTTAACGTTGATTTATCAACTTTAAACGACTGTAAAACACTTTTTCACCATCAAAACGTGCTATGTATGTCAAAATGTATATATGTATGTAAACGTGCTATGTGCGTCAAAATATGATCACCATCAAAACGTACTATGCATGTACATTAGTGTTGCTGTTTATTATCAAGGTATATTATGAATATTAAATCTATTCATAGTCTATACTTAGACTATTTAGAACTTTTTCAGTTTAGTTTAGTTAAAAAAGCTAGGTATGATTAAAGAAAGAGATAAAACTTGTTTTATTTAAAAATACATATTCAAATATTACATATATTTACATGTAATTGAATAAAATCTACACAAATTTCTTCTCTTTTCCACCACCTTTTTGAAATAAAGCGTAATTTAGAAAGTCAAACAATGTTCCATTACCCGAGAGTTCTTTTGGTCCATTGAATACAATAGAAGAAGCTGTAAATAAAAAAAATATATTAAAAAAATCAAAAAGGGAAGATTTAAAAAATAAATAATGAATGGAAAAGTGTTACATCTTATGAAGGCACATCTTTTTCAACGCCATATAGATTAGTGTTCTTAAAACATATTTTTCCACCTTTGCCCTTCATATCCATAGAGACCATATAACTTTTCAAAAATACTCTGAATTTTAAAAAAATAATATAACTGTTAGTTGGTTATTAATAACTTTTTCAAATATTTAATTTAAATAAAACAACCTTTTTAATATATTAAAAATAAATTGGTAGTCAAAATATAAAACATTTTTAGCATTTAAAAATAATTTTCGGGGTGGCCACATAAAATTTTTATAAGAAATTTTATGTGGCCATTTATTAATGGTTTAACAATGTTTATACACTTATGGGGCTGGGACAGGAATCAAATAATGTCATTTATTATGTTAAATGGCATGCATTTTCTAAAGCAATTTTTTACATTTCATGCACTTTAAGGCGTTAACCAGTTTTGCAGACCGAGAATGGGTATTTTGAACATAATACTTCCATCAAAAATTAAAAAAGGAAGAATTAATGAGGAGCTTTGATCAAATTTTTACCTCTTTAGAGGATAATAGAGGATTTTAGAAGTGGTTTTAAAAAAAGAGGACTTTAGAGGATTTTAGAGAAGCTGCAGACACCCTGATTATAAATGAGGTAAGAGTCCAATACTGTTTTTGATTACCTCAGCATAATTTTGTGTATTCTATCTTTAGAAGACGTTCCACCAATTAACTAATTAATTTATCTGTAACTGATTTATCTGTAAAAAACATGAAGTAAATCTAATATTATGCTTGTGGAGATATATTATATTGTGGAGAACCATCCAAACCACACAAATGGAAAATTTGCATCCAAGTTTCCACTTGTGTGCAAATCTTGCATCCACTTGTCAACATTCTCATTATCACATTTTTATTTTGTAGTTGTGAATTTAAAATTTTCACAATACTGTTTGCTTTCTTTTAGAATTGAAATAGTTATATAAATAGTTATATATTTTGTATCAACAAAATAACTTTTTTTACCACTTTATTTAAAAAATAAAAATTGTAATATATAGATGTAATACCTGAAGAGAATTTAGTTTTTATTTGTATAAACTTAAGCCAATTCTTCTCTTCATTTTAGTGCAGTCAATGCTTTGGCAGCTGGAAGCCGACAAACAATTTTATCACTAATTCAATTAGATGGAATTACTTCTTCTTGTAAATCTTCATTCCAAACAGCTCCTTTCCGCATATTCGATTTTGAAAAAATTACATGAACTAATATAAAATGAAGAAACTGTATTATAAGTGTACTAACAGGCCTAATTAAACTAGCTAAATTTGAACATTTTATAACCATGATACTTGCTAAACAATAATATTAGTAGACATTATAAGCAAAGATAAGATTTTCTTTATTTTATAAATTTATAATATTTTAAACTCATTTTTATTAATTTATTTATTACTCTATTATTCAGCAGAGTTCTGAATATATTATGTTCAAATACCTTAAGGCTCAATAACAAAGACAAATAATAAAAGAATACTAGGTTGCTAAAACATAAACATCTACATAAGATAATTATGGAATATTGAAAAAAAATAGAAATACAAAAAAACAAAAATACTCATTATTAATATAAAATATAATAGTATAATTTAAGGTATATTATAATATATGACACAATAATATCGACTTTTAATTAAAATATAAAAACAACAAAAATTAAAAAAGAAAATATTTTGATAAATAATAAATTATCATTCAAACAATTTTCAAAATCAAAAAATAACTTGTAACTTATTTTTTTACTTATTTTTATCTAATAAACATTACTTATTTTTCACTCATCTTCATCTAATAAACATTAATATTAATACCAATTTTAAACATTATTGGAATTTTTTTTTTCAAAAAATAAAAATATTACATCAGTTACTTTTTGGGCTTTTCTTATTTTACTTAAAACATCAACTCAATTCTAGACTTTTTTCATAATTGAGTTTTAATTTGTAATGTTGAATTAACACTGAAAAAAAAAATTAGCAGACAAAAAGAAAATATTTCTTTATTGAAATATAAGTAAATATTTCAATAAAGAAATTTTAGATTGATTTTTATAAATATAAATTTATATCAATCAATCTAAATTTTTTTCTTTTCCGCCATCTTTTCGAAATAAAACACATTTTTAGAAGTTAGACAAAATGCCATCAATTAAAGCTTCAGTCGTTCCATCGTATTTAAAAGAAGAAGCTGTTAATAAAAAAGAATTAAAAAAAAAAAAAAAAAAAAACACAAGGAGAAATTTTTGAATATATAAAAAATGAGAATAAAAAAGTTTTTCATATCTTATAAAGGTATACCTTTCACTACACCATATAAATTAGTGCTTTTAAAGCATATTTCCACCTTTCCCCTTCATATTTATGGAGATCACAAAATTGTTGGAAAATATTCTAAATTTTAATAGATAAGAGAACTGATATTAATTATGCGAGAACTAATATTAATTTTTTTTTTTTTTAATTTAAATTGAACTCATTATCAAACAATTTTTTTGCTAAATAATTTAATCCTTAAAATTCCTGAATAATTAAAAACTATTATAATTACCTCAGCATTTTAAAGATATTCCATCAATTGCAATTGATTCACCTAAAAAACAACAACAAGTAAAGCAAATATTATTGTTTGAAATTTTAATTATCTATACAAATACTCATCATATTTTTAAAGTGACTGATAAAAATGGATTCAATTAAAATCACTTCATTTGTATTAAAAAATTAATATTAAAGCCTTAAATTAATATTAAATCATACATTATACAAGAGTATATGTATGATCATGAACATATATATATATATATATATATATATATATATATATATATATATATATATATATATATATATATATATATATATATATATATATAAATATATATATATATATGTTCATATGTATAATACATATATATATATATATATATATATATATATATATATATATATATATATATATATATATATATATATATATATATATATATATATATATATATATATATATATATATATATATGTATATATATATATATATATATATATATATATTTTAAAGATATTCCATCAATTGCAATTGATTCACCTAAAAAACAACAACAAGTAAAGCAAATATTATTGTTTGAAATTTTAATTATCTATACAAATACTCATCATATTTTTAAAGTGACTGATAAAAATGGATTCAATTAAAATCACTTCATTTGTATTAAAAAATTATTATTAAAGCCTTAATCATACATTATACAAGAGTATTTTGTAATACAATCTAAATAATTGTTGCGATATGTAATTTTTTTATCCGAAATTTAGCTTCTGTAAGCTTTAGAAATTTTTTAAAGAAACTATTGATGAATTTGGAGCTACGGGTACTAATGTTTTTATATTGCTGTAATGTTTGTATTCATTCCCTATTAGTTTCTGTAAGTCAAAATTTTAAGGTGATGCCATAATAAATTCTGTTATATCTAAAATTTAGTGTTAGTCTGAATAATTTACTTTCTAAAATTTGTTTTGCATTGCCTGTCTTATAACATTTTTACTTGGAACAAAAACCATGTGGTTTAAAAGTGAGCTAGAAGCTTTCAACAATGAAGAAAATATTGCATTCGCTAATCCTAAAAATATATTAAACCTGTCAGCAAAATCAGCTGTCAATAATCCAAGTATTAGCATCATTAAAAATTCATCTTTGCTGCATTACATTTATTTTGGTCCAAGTAGTTAAGGATTTTTTTAAATTTCAAAAAACAGAAGTAAATGTTTTTTTTTAATATCACTTTATCTCTTTTGATTAATGGTGATACTGCACTAACTGAGGAAACACATTGACAGATGTAAGGCCAGTATAAAAGTCGCAAGATCTATTATTTTTAAAATAAATGTTTGTATACAAGTAAACTGCAATAACACGATTTGTTTGGATTATGTTTATATACAAATTTGTCTGTTTTCATAGTAATAACTGATGTGGTTTAAGTTAATTTTTCATATAAATCTTTATTTTTTTATTTCGTGCTGAAGTTCTTTTTTAAAGTTATCAATTTCCTTTTTTAATTCTTGATGCTCTATTAAAAAACAACGCTCAGCATTAAATTCAACATAATTTAATGGGTCATTTTTTGAAAAAGCTGTATTATATTTACATTTAATAATATCAGTCTTTGAGCATTGTAGCCCAAGTTAAACGAAAAATATCGATTTTTAAACGATAATGTTCTTTCAGGAAAATCGTCTGAACATGTTTTCGATCTCTTGAAAATTCTATATGATAAAAGTTCAGTATTTACATTTTTTTTCCATTATAAATCTCTATAACTTTAATCGTTGAAATAATGTTTACGATTTTACTTCCATTTCTGCGCGCGCATAAATTTTATATCGTATTTTTTGTCAACAATGATTGAAATAATGACGTTAAAATAACGTTAAATAATCAACGTTTAAACTGTAACGTTGATTTAACGTTGAATTAACGTTAAATAATCAACGTTTAAACGGTAACGTTGATTTAACGTTGTGACATAGTTGAACAACGTTGAATCAACGCTTCAACCGAATTTCAACGTTGAAACAACGTAATAATGCCGGCTGGGTATTATTATGTATTTCGCCGTTGAAAAAAGTTTACAAGTTTGTACAATACAATATAAAATACATGGCTCGGGCAAGAAGAAGACTAGTTTAGTCTTATCACCAAGCCCCTTTAAATAAAACTGACTATATAAAAAATTCAAAGCAAAGTAACTCGTTAAATAAACGTTAAACGTTAAAATAAAATAACGTTAAATAAAATGTAACGTTAAGTAAAAATAAAATACATTTTACGCTATGTTAGAGTGTAATATATCCAAAAGTATAAGAACATTTTATTAATTAATTTCATTTTTTCTAACTGGTTTTAGATTTATAAACCTTTTGAATTTAGATCATAAAATAACAGATAATACACGAATAACAAACAAAACAAAAAACACTCATTTTTAAAAATATTTTTAGTAACTTAACGTGTCTTTTATATAAGTTTTTTTATATGTTTTTTATTAAAGTTTATTATATAAAATAAAAAAACAAAAAAAAAATAGAAAAAAAGAGCGTCATAATGTACAAATCGACTAACAGTATATACAGAATATATATTTAAACCATATTTATAAAGAAATAAAATAAATAGACAAACGTGATTACTCCTAGTCAAAGGATTCAGAAAAATTTAATTCGTTGTCATTTATTAAAAGTTTTTGCTTAAGTTTGTTTTTAAAATTTAATAGAAGAAATAGTTTTTAACTCATTATTCAATAGCGTGTTCCATAGTTTAGGACCTCTGTTTGCAATTGAAAACTTAGTAACAGAGTAATAGGTTTTCGGTTAAATATAATTGTTTTCTGAAAATCGTGTTGGGTATAGATGATTGATTTTTTCCAAAAATGAGTCAAATAAAATAGGGGATATTTTTTTATTAACTTTGAAAATAAAAATAAAAATTTGATAAAAATTTAGTTGAAATACGTTGAGAATATTAAATTTAATGAATAGAGGTTTAGTGTGTGAGAAATGATCTATATTTCCAATAATTCTTACAGCATGCTTTTGTTTAATTAATAATTTATCTATTTTAGTTGCATTAGTGCTACACCAGCCAACGTTTGAATAACTTACGTTGCTATGAATAAATGAAAAATAAATTTATTTTAAACAGGTTTGATTTAATAACAGCTTAGCTTTGTAAAGTAGACCAATATTTTTTGAAATTTTATTGTGAATTATATTTATGTGCTCCTTTCAACTCACATTTTCATCAATAACAACCCAAGAAATAACAATAAACGTTCTCTTACTATACAAGAGTTGTTTACAACTAAGTTTGGAAGATTTAATGGGATAAGTCTCTTTTCATGAAGACGATGGAAGAAAGTATATTTTGTTTTTTTTATGTTTATGGATAATTTATTTGCTATAAACCATTCGCTTAGTTTTGCAAGCTCTTTGTTTACTGTTTCAAATAAAGAATTAATATCCTTATCAGAATAAAATAAGTTGGTATCGTCTGCAAATAGGATTGAATTTAAGATACTTGAAAAATTATTTAAGTTGTTTACATAAATGAGGAACAAAAGGGGCCCTAAGATTGATCCGTGCGAGACGCCGCAAGATTTTGCTTCTAAATCCATTTTACTATCATTAAACGAGATATACAGTTTCCTGTTTGTTAGATAACTTTTAAACCAAGTTTATTATAATTTAAGATACCATAATTTTAAAGTTTGTGCAGGATAATATTAAGATCCACCGTATCAAAAGCCTTACTTAGATCAGTAAAGACGCCTAATGAAAATTTGTTTTCGTCAAAACCTTCTTTGTGTATTAGATGATTGTATGATCAGTTGAATGGCTAGATTTAAACCCAAATTGTTTATCGTAAAGAATATTATTAATAGTTAAAAATGAATAAAGTCTGTTATACATAACACAAAATCTTGGAAAAACAGGTAAGAATTGAGATTGGTCTGTAGTTTGAGACATCAGAAGGATCACCTGATTTATAGACTGGTGTAACTTTTGCACATTTTAAGTTTTCAGGAAAAACCCCGTGCTCTAAAGATAAATTTTAAATATGTAAGAGTGGTGTTTTTATAAACTAACTGATTTAATAATGACATTATTACTAACATCATCAGCACCCGGACTTTTATTAGATTTTAGTAAAGAAACTGAGTTTAATAATTCATCTCCTGTAAGTTCATAATTAGACATGACAGTTATATTAGGTGTTAGGTATGAGCGAAAGGTTGTCTGAGATGGTCTTTCAGAATAATATTTTTTTGAGCGTTTTTGAACAGATTCAAATAAACGTTAATAACTTTTATAAGTTGTTTCATTTACCAAAGTTCTTTTTTTAAGAAATTTACAATATAATCTTTGTTTAATTTTGGAAGATTTAAGGATTCCCTTTGTTATCCATGGGTTTAAAAGAATTTTTTATTTGACTAATTTAGAATTTTTAGGGAATGCTTAATTAAAATGAGTAAGAAATTCGGTTAAAAAAATATCGTATACTTCATTGGCATTTCGATTTCTTAGCGTCTCGTTCCAATTTTATAAGCATCAGACTGAATGCATTTATTTTATATTATAAAAATCGGAAAGTGATCCGAAATATCCGTTTTAAATATTCCAGTTTTTATTTTTGTATTGATCAATTCATTAGTTATAATTTGATCAATTGACATTGCACTACCCCTAGTCACACACGTAGGTTTATTAATCTATTTGGAAACTATGAAATGCATATATAAGATTTAAATTGTTTTAAACTTGCTTTAAATAATGCAAGTACAGTACTTGAAAGACTTTATAAGCTTAAGGGAGACTCGAAAAAAACTACAAAAAAAAGAAACATAAAAGGGTAATACAAATTAATTTAACAAAAAACGTCTTACTTAAACACAAGTTTAAATTGAACTCGTGTTTAAGTTATATTGAACTTCAATACATTTGTTTTAATGACTTCGATACAACGAAATCTATTTTCCCAATGCTTTTATTAATTCTTTGGCTCTGTTTGTTAGTTTGCTGATCTGTCTGGGAGCATC